AGATATCAATCTCTTCTTTACATTCCTGCTCACATCTCTTTTTTCTCGGCTTTCCTCTTTCTCTTCTCAGGCCGTTCTTAAAGAGTCTGGAGGCTTACATAACATTTGTAATGTGAAAAATTGAGAATTTGAGCAGGAAATCTGAGGGGGAAACTTATTTTCTTAGACCCTTATACGCTGGCTGTTGGTCAGTTTTTCCAGGAAATAAATTCTCTTTTGGAAATCAAATGAAAAAAGCTAATAGGGGGAAAGAATTTGAGCTTTAGTCCTGCTTGTTGGAGACCTTTTTTTAATCATAAAAAAACAAAACTTATTCAAACGATCTTTATGTAAAGGCTCACAGGCTGAGCAGTTTCTCCTGCTACTATTCTTATGTCAATAATGAGTTTCCAGTGAAGTCTGGGAAAAATCCCTGGAAAATTTCTACATTAAGAATATGCAAAAAGTCAAAGGCGAGAGAAGTTGGAATCATTTCTTCTATTGATACTTCTAAATATGATTTACCATTATTTTGTTTATGTGGAAACCACAAATATGTTTTAATATTATCAAATGATTTTAGGGAAAATGGTCTGATATACTGTTCTGTGAGTGTCCATTTAATGCTACATACCACAAATATTGCACAAATATTGTCTAATCTTCTAAAAAAACTGGAAGCATAATGTTTGTTCTACAGCCATTTCTGGGTTGGAGACACTTGCCTATTTTACTTTCCATCCCTAAACTTGTCACATTTCTCTCTATAGTATTGTAGAGTATCAAATGTCTTTCATTTTCCTGGTGCAGGTATATCAAACCCCAAATAAATATCAGAACAAAGACGTTGTTCTGAAACTAATCCTCCATCTGCCTACAGAGCATTGGTCCAATTTCAATATCTGATGAACTTTCTGCCTCACAAGCTGACTGTATGTTAGGGATATCCCGATCCAGCTTTTTTCACTTCCGATCCGATCCGATCCCGGTCTATCAGAGCATGTATTAAAGTTTAAAGTTATTTATCTACTTACTTAGTGGTCAGACTCATGTTGAACAGGGATTTACTCTGATAACAGCTTAATGGTTAGGACACAGACCTGTGGATCAGGAGATGCTAATGCTAATGCTAACGCTCGCGTGGGATCGGACTTAAAAAAAACTGGATCTGGAGTCTGGATCTGAATTTTCTCCTGCCGGACGATACGCAGTTTTTTTGCGAATATCGGCGGGAAAACCCTATAAAGGGATGCATTATTCTGTCCGTCTGAGAGGTTCCAGTTTGCTCTTTAAATGAAGAGTCGTCCTCCCACAGCAGAGGAAGTCATGGAGTTCCTCTGGGCTCTGTGCTCGGACCGGTTCTTTTTTCTTTCTTTATTTTTTTACAGGTGTGTCTAATTTGGTTTTATTTCTTTGCCAGAGGCGTTTCAGAGTATGCATCCCTTTGCGTATCGGCCGGCAGGAGAAAATGCAGATCCAGACCCCAGATCCAGTTTATTTTAAAAGTGCTATCCCACACGAGCATTAGCATTAGCATTAGCATCTGTAACCCACAGGTCTGTGTCCTAACCATTAAGTTATCAGAGTAAATCCCTGTTTAACATGAGTCTGACAACTAAGTAAGTAGATAAATAACTTTAAACTTTAACACATGCTCTGATAGGCCGGGATCGGATCGGAAATTCAAAAAGCTGGATCGGGACGTCCCTATTTCAGAGTATTTGGCCGTTCATCCGACTGGCCTCACAACCGCAGACCTTTGTAACCACACCAAGTCTCAGGTCGAGACCCCGATGAGGCAGAAGAACATGCAGATCAATTTCCCCCTGAGACGGTTTCTGACAGTTTGTGCAGAAATTCTGGATAAATTGGATGGATGACAGGTCCTGGAGATTTATGGTGGAGAAATGAGCATCCAAATAATGGGCAAAAGCTCCGGTGGACATTCCTGCTGACACTCCCTAAAAACCTGCAAAACCTGAGGCATTGTGCTGGGATTATCTGAACATTTCAGTTGTGGCCTTTTATTGAGGCTATAAGGCGCATCTGATTTTGATTAGCTCACCAACAGGAAGCTCCCAGGCAAGAAAATCCGAATTGCTTCATGGCAATATAGACATTAATCTAATTGATTAATTCATTTAACTGTTTTTAATTTAAAAATAGTGAAATTCATCTTGCAAACACTGAATTAAACTCTATAGATAATATCATGTTAAAATGTCGTATAGACAGTAAGGTTTCGTTTCCACCTCAGAAAGCTGCTAGTCACATTACATAATCAAAATGGCCGACTTGGATGTGGGAGGAGTTGGATATCCAGCCGAGCCTCCTACAGGCTGCAGACAGAGGCTACACCATCCAGACTCCAGATCCAGTTTTTTTTTTTTTTTATTCTGATCCCACATGAGCATTAGCATTAGCATCTGTAACCCACAGGTCTGTGTCCTAACCATTAAGTTGTTATCAGAGTAAATCCCTGTTCAACATGAGTCTGACAACTAAGTAAGTAGATAAATAACTTTAAACTTTAACACATGCTCTGATAGGCCAGATTGGGACATTCCTACTTGTGAACAACTGTTGAGCTAAACGGTTATTTTGTGTCTGTAGCAAATGTTGTAGATCTCCGAGTTCAGCTCAGGAGAAATAGGAGCAAAAACAAAAGTGCTGCGTCTAGATTTATTTTCATGTGGAGAGTTCACACTATTTTGAAACAAATTAGCTAGATATATATATCAAACTCATTAGTATTTTACTGTGTAAAGCTAATTTTTGGAATCTAATGAATTAGAACTGATTGGATTCGGATTGTTTTCTAATTAATTGGCTTGAATTGGACTCTAATTTTGATGTGAATAGAAGTTCAATCAGTTGGGATTCATTTGGTGTGAGATAGATTAAACTGAATTCAGTTTAATTTAATTAAAAGGTTATAGAAAGGTAGATTTTTCCTTTTAGAGTCACAGTCTGCCCAGTTCTACATGCAGGGAACAGCTCCAGGTAGATCCAGGATTGGGAAAAATGACTGACTCTGACTCTTTTCCAGGTCCTTTTTTTGCTAGTAGCTCTGTGGAAACTGCTAGTGTTCTCTCATATAAAGCCCTAACGCCTCTGGTTAGATGTTTATCTGAGAGATGGTATCTTTGCATCTCACCCCAGAACAACTCAACACCTCCTGGGGTTTCCAGCAGAAAACCGGAGGATCCAGACTCTCCACAATCAGCTGCAGATTTACTGTGATCCGGACCTGTCTCTGCCCCCAGGCCACCCCAAAAACAGCTTTTATCCACTATAACAACCTCACTACTCATCACTTACAGGCATCTG